GCAATTTCAGGGCCATTTCACGAGTGTGTTGCCTTGGGTTAGACTCAACAAGAGTCTTCAGAGCATAACAGTTTTTAAGGCTAAAGTCATCTGAATGAAATTTCCTGAACCATTGTTGATACTTGCGAACGTTCAAAACATTTCCATAAACTTCTTTGATATTCTTTGTGGCTACAAAGGCACTGTTTCCCTTCTTGTATTCAAACAGCATTACATGCCAAATGTGTGTCTCATCGTGTGCCATCACTATAAGGGATTACAGTATACTAAACTTTACACATTATATAGGCTACACTAACATGACGTTTAGGCAGTTCGTTTAACTATTATACGTGATGTACCTTTTTTTTGGGGGGGGGTAATAAAAGTGTTCCAAAAGGCGACATTAATTTCTTGACGACCTAATAATATAGTATGTCATTTGATAGAATAAAACTCTGGTTTTCTATTGGTTATAAATAATATAGTATTAAACATCAGAGAGAACTATTGGCAGTTTGTGAAAGAAAGGATGTGACAGGTGGGCATGGCAAGAAGGATTTGATTTTCTATTTTATGGCTCTGTAACCAAATAAGATTAAAGGCTATAAAAATTAAGCTATGTCTGAGTGATAACAATATTATAATGAGTAATTTACATTAAATTTCCTCCTTCTCTGAGGGGTAGTAAATAAATTAGAGAAGAGTGGATACCTAGAGAGCAAATTTCACAATTCTTATACTAGGGTGAGATTGAGGATTTGTTTAAAATATTTCTTTATAAAATTAAGAACTTAAAACTTATATAATATTAGCATTTGATTTATTAAATATGCTTTTATTAATATACCATGATAAATAATGTACTTTAATTAAATTTTGAATGACACTGAATAAAACCTTGTGACATGCTCAGAAAAGGATGCCTGTAAGGAAGGAGTTTAAGAAAAAGCTTGATAAATATTTGAATAATAAGGGCTGGCTTTGAGCTTTTTAGTATTTAAAGTAGTGGATAGAATGGCCTAGATGGACCAAAATGTTCCTTGTTGTCCTTTAATGTTATGTTATTTTAAAGCTGAAAATCTGGGACTATCACATTTACATAGAGAATGTGACAACTTTTGTAAAGTTAAAAAAATAATATAAATCACAAACCAATACATTAACATAAAGAATCTTTGGGTCCTTGATATGAAATAATAAAATACAGTAAATGTTTTCATTACAAAAAAAGTCTTATAATACTTAGTAAAGACTGTAACAATGAAATCATGTCAACCAATAAAATAAGTATAATAACTTCATTACCATGCAAATGCTAGGAATCGCAATTTGGCATTTATTTGCCCTGTTACTTATCACTGATGGATATTTTGCCCACTCTACCCCTTAGTAAAAAATTATAATTTCAAGGGTTGATTCAGTAAGAAGATAAAGAGAAGTGTATTGTTTACATCCACAATAAAATAATAAATACAATAAATGTCTTTATATGTTTGACTTACTGTTAACAATGAAGTTTAAAAGGCACATAGACAGAAACTGGAACAAGATATCTGAAAAAGGAAAGATCAACATTTACATCTATAATCTCACCCCTAGGTGTTTCTGTGTTGAGGACTTCAAATAAAGGATAATTAGGATTCCACTTGCCACTAAAGTGATACATTATTTTTTCACCATTAAGATTCTTGGTCATGGATGCCTATAAAAGAAAAAAAGTCTCAATTATTTGTTGTATCCATAGTGTGATTGAAATACTGTTACACACTCTTCTTTTCAGAAAAACTGTAAGAGATCAAATAAAAAATGTAGTTTAAAAACACAGTAAATTCTTATTCCAAATATAATTTATTAAAACCATGCTTTGCCAACAAAAATCAATCACACCATGAAAGAGATTCAGTCTGTGTTACAAATACGTTACAGCAAAATTAAAAAATATATTTGATACATTTTAGTATTATAATCATAGAGAGAAAAAAAAGAATGAACGTTAACATTTTCTTAAATCAAAAATGTATTTACAATAATACTTAACTCTTCTTACATTTACAGCTATTACTTGACTGCCATGGTTTCTTCCTTTGCCCATCTAAGCATTGGTTTGATTTTTCTTCTCTCTTGCTCTAGTCTTTTATACTCTACTCAACTGCCCTTAGCAATATATATCTTGTGACACTCTCCACCCTCTATCCTGGTACAGTATATAAGCACCTCATTCAATTAATGTTATCACTTTTTTGAGACTGACTCCATCCCAGTCTCTAACACTGGCTCTTGTGGGGAAGAAAGGCATGAAAGTGTGAAAGGAGGTAAGTGTTATTGGAAATACATTTTCAATTTAAGAAAATGTTAACTTCCAAAACATATTTACCTCCTCTCACACTTATAGCTACAATCCTACATTGATAAAGTGTAGGGGCCAGTGAGGGTACTATCCATACAGAAAGCATCTACATAGATCATGAGTGTGTCAATAGAAAATTGGCACCGTAGTGGGGGAACCACAAAACATCCAGAACAACACGTACTCTTCACTTAATTCCTGTATTGTGGGTGGAATTTAAAAATTATTGATTATCAGTACAGGCCAGGCCCAAACCAGATAGCTGAGGTTCTACTACTCGGGGTGGCTAGGGTAATTGGCACAAACTATATATATATATATATACACACTTAAGAGTGGATCCTAACCTGTAGCCATAGAGTGATGCATTCCAAGCCTCTGGAATAACCATGAGAAAGTAAGCAGCACTGAAGTGGACAAACCTTCTCCTTGACCCGGAGAAGTCTGAAAGGCAACACCCCAGGCTCAGAATGACTGGATCATGTGTGCCTTACTCAAACTGAAAAAACATAACTCATCAAGTCTGGAATTATGTACACTCATCCTCACTTCCCAACTGTGTGGGCAAGGTAAATTCCACTTGGCCTGGTATTATGCAGAAGATGTGGAACAACTGTGCTCAACCAAGGACCCAGTCTCAAAAGCAACCCGGGAAAAGACCCAAAACATCACATGCTCGATGAACCAACTGAAGAAAACATATAGGACTTTATAAACAGTATTTTGGTTGTTATATGTCATTTAAAGACTGTGTTGATTACTGTCGATTGAAACAACACTTGGTCAGGTAAGTTTGTCCGTAAACTCATCACTGTCCCACAGGAGGACTTAAAATCCAACAAACTAAAAGAAGGCGCAGGAGAAGCAAATCTTAATTTTCTACAGACTCTCAAGAATCACCCTCAATTGCAGCCTCAGAGCCACCGAATGAACACCAGAGAACCAAATGTATGTTTCCATATCACTACAAATATGATTACTGATAGTCTCAACCAAAAGTGACTCTCCCCCACAAGACTGTTGTGTGATGCTAGATTCCAGATGTGGAGTATGAGAGACCCGATTTTCTTCTGTGCCTGAAATAATAATCTTGGAATTCATACCATAAATTGAATTGCCAATCAGAAAAACTTTCTCTTTCTTTAACAACAATCAACTAGGTAACATGTAGAATGTTCAAAATATCTCTGAACAATCGTAACCCTGGGAGACTTGTTAGTGACATTTTGTTGAGAAAAAGTGGTAACATTATCTTAATGAGTTGCTTATATACAGTACCAGGATAGAGGGTGCATTGACACAGGAGAAGAGTGTCACGAGATAAATATTGCTAAGGACAGTTGAGTGGGGTATAAAAGACTGGAGCAAGCAAGAACAAAATCAGACCAATACTTAAAAGAGCAATGGAAGAAACCCTGGCAGTCCAGTAATAGCTATAAGTGTGAGAGGAGGTATAATTTGGAAAACTAGTTTTATATTAACCTTTTTCATACGTAAATGGAAACACTAAATATTTGAGTTACTCTTCTATACCACCCACTGTATGCTAATTCACATGAACCTTATAAAATATCAAATGTCACAGACATAACCATAAGTAAACAACTAGTTTAAAGTTCATTGTTTTTAATATTACAAGACTTTGTGAAATGTTGAAAACTATGTTAAAATATAAAGACTTTGTTAAATTCATATCAAAATAGGCACACTTAGTAAGCCTTACAAAAACACATACACATTTCTAGATTACATAGCCTCATTGGAGTGAAAATTAATTTCTTTTCATTAATAACAGAAGCATATTTCACCAGAAAATAATGAACTTTATTATACTATACTTTAAACATTTTGGAAATTACCCAGCAAATTAAATGGGAAGAGCTTTCAAAAGTTGGTATCATTTGATAAATTTGTGGCTTCCAATAGAAATTCACAACATAGCTTAGATAGATGGAAAAGCTTTTAGTGATAGGACCAGCAATATTTATACATAATTATTATTATGGTTTGAAAAGAAAAATCTATACTTTAGGTATACTTAAATTGTTAATTATTGTTTGTTGGATGAGGTGCAAGGTCCTGGACTTCATGCTTATCTAAATTATCTTTCATGCGAGGTGACTGTTACTTCTTTTCTAACAAAATGTTACATGTGAGCTAATAGGCCACAACAAATTAATACCAATATGCAGTCCTCAAAATTAGTGACAACACATTGCAAAGCCATTGGAAAATCTGTGGCATTTTATGATTAAAGTGAAGTACAATGCCCAAAAAAATGCTGTCATTATAAAAACAACTTGTAATTTTTTCCCTTTAATTTTTTATTTTTTCTGTGAATAAGATTAAGATTTTTTTGAAAAATAAAACTTTTGATAAATAATGATACAATCTCCTCACCTTGACTAAATTGCAATCCCAGTAATAACTGAATTTAGTGGATTGCTGTGACCCTACAAGCCATGAATCTGATTTTGTTACATACATGTACAATGCTCAAGGAAAAGCCAAGAAAAAAGGTATGGGTTGGGAACAATAAAAATCTAGTTTCCACATTTAAGCTCTAATGTATATTTTGATATTCCATTTGATCCACTGAAAATACTGAGAATTCTCTATTTAATAGCTTTTAACTCTCTCACTTTGACTGACCTTTCAACCACCAGGTAAACATGAAAGTATACATAATATAACCTTTAAAACTAAATGAACTAAATAATAACTCGTAAACTAAACAGCCTTGTAGATCCAACAAGATTAGATAAGAAACTTAAATGAAAAAAAAATATATATATATATATATAAACAAAAACATTACTTGTGATTCTCTGTTATAGCAGGGGCTCGTCGCAATAACCATGTCTTGTGATGAGCCCCTGGTATGACATGATTATTGTGATGTGATAAATGGCTTTCAACATATTCTCTAATTGTAAAGCAATAAAACCAAATGGACCCATATTTGAAAAGACTGTTAGCTTTGGTTGTAAGAATAAATTGCATGAAATTGTCTGTTATATCATGCAGTCATTCTACAAATTAAAAAGAAGTGTAATTCAATAAAGACCACCCAACCAAACCAACGAGAAGCCAGGGGAAATTTGTCAGAAGAAGACTACAAGGAAAACACTGCAGATGAGCATTACTGACATGGAAACAATCATCCACAAGGACCTAGGTAAGGATGACAATGGGAAGAGAAAATAACAAGTCAAATATAAAGGTTAACAGAAAAACAACTTTTGATATTCATTTAGAAGATTCAAGAATATTCTAATGAAATCTGTAAGAGTTAAAAACCTTTAATTTCATCATGAAAATTACCTTACACTCAGACTATTCAAAGTCTGAGTCAGAGTCTGTAAATTTACAATAAAGTTTTAGTAGAAATATTTCATTAAAAATGATTTGTTGTGTACAACAGGCTCATGAAGCTAACAAAAGCTTCCCCCCAATTTCGAAGATACACATAATAAATTCAGAAATAGAGTAAACATTGCTAAGTATAGCTTCACAGAAATATAGATTAGTGCAATGCACCAATGTCATCTCATAGTGTTAATGCACTTACAGTAAAATTTTTTTTACCATTAACTTGATGTTCTTATTCCAAGGACTGAATATGCACTCAAAATAAACATCCATGGTATTATATTCTGCACTTTATACATCCTTTTCAGTACAAAGTTCAACTAGCCCAGTATAAAAATTGGAAGAATATACAATGAAACACATCAAGAAACTCAAAAAACTTCCTAATATGTCTCCCACCCATCCATCCTGTACAAAAAGAAATGCCAACTTCAAACTTCAACAATTCTTCAGTAGCTTTATTTCCACATTTTAATTTCATGTATTTGTTACAATTTGAAGTGGTAAAACAAGCCACTGGGATGGAATTCCTAAAACAAACAAAAGATAAGACTTATTATGTTTAAAAAATCTTAGTGATTCGATATTTTTGCTATATGTATAGATTCATATAAAGCACATTATTTATTTGCTACGTAAAATCAATCAACAGAAATGCATTACCATTTCAATTAATTGCATATCACTATGGTTGACATTCCTACCAGGTGAGATTAGCAGTCCAAAACATCTGTAAAAAAGAAAACACTATATCACAAAATTTATAAATATAAAATGTAAAAAGTTAACAAAATGGAGATTGACATTAACCTTATTTTAATTTTTAAAATGTACATTTCAAACACAGTTCTTTGCAAAAACTTGTATTTAGGAACACCACAATAAAAAATGGAGATGAAGTCTTGAAAAAAAATATAAATTAGCATCTATCTCACATAAGGAAAGAAAGCATAGACTATTAAAAGAGTTCTAGCAATGTTTAGACCATAAGAACTGCCCAGATGTTGTAGTAACATTGAACAATTAACTCCTGCTAGAAATATAAGGTCTGAATATGTTATGAACAATCACACCATAAGATAAAGCATAGATGTATTCTGATTCAATCTTATCACAGAACTAAGAAGAGACCTCAAAAACTTTCTCAGAAGAGGCAGTGTGTAAGAGTAATATGTAATTCTAGTTATAGAAACTACTTTTAAGAATGATGGGTAACAATTCAATAAAGACCACACCATAAAACCAACAAAAAGTCAAGTGAAATATGTCAGAAGAAGGGTACAAGGAGAACACTGCAGATGAGCATGGGAACAACCATCCATATAAACCTAAGTGAGAATGACAATGGGTAAAATAAAAACAGGAATCTCAAAATGATGTAGTAATAGACAAAACTTCCCCAGAAAGATTCTTATAAATTCTCTGAATAAGAAGGTTATAACCAATGAGTAGGAATAGCAAGAAATGGAATTGAAAAAACAAAAACAAACTACGGACTCAGAGTATGGAAAATCAAGAACAACCAGAGAGAGAGAATGTTTGATAACAAAGAAATGCTCTGTCTGGACAAAACAATCTTTCCAGGTCCGAATAAAAATATTTCACTGAAAGGTGAGAATGAGAAAAGAGATAAAACATCCTACTAAGATGCTCAATCTGAAGTAAAAGAGAACTATCAGGATGAGTAAGTAAAAATTATCATGGCAAAAAAAACAAAAGGAAGTCAAATGCTCATTTAGAACAAGAAGAAGAAATTGAAAAACATGGGAGATTTTCCAGCAGTCTGGAAGCAAAAAACACAAAAACTAAAGGAGTCATAGAAGAATATGATGTTGAAAAAAACCAATGTCATAAACTCTGTGTCTGCAAAGCTGAAAAAAAAATGGTCTTAAGTGCAAGCTACTAAAAAAAAAGTGAATCTACAAAAAGTACATAGTTGTTGAATTAGGAAATGTCAGGAAGAATAGAGTTCTACAAGAACGTTGAATAAGAATGGAGGAGGAAAATAGGTATAAGGAAACAGTCAGAATCAATCATGAATGAGAAAAATCCATTCTCCACAAAAACAGAGAGAGCTAGTGGTTGAACAATGTGGCAAATGTATTGATTATTCAATGACCAATTGAGAAAAGGGTTCTATAAAGGCAACTGCTGAACAAAAATAATTAAATAAAGAAGTTTTCCGACATATAAAAATTACGAAAGAAAGCAAGATGATTAGTCAGTCACTGATAAAAATGAACTTAACTTCTGCACCTAATGTAAGCAAGAAGAGGCCTCTATGTATAAGTTATTAAAACTTTTAAATTATGTATACACATATACCTCAAACCTATTAAAAATGCTTGCCCAATTTTTTCTTGTTTACCATTCATGTCAGTGTGTGTGTGTGTGTTCTCATAGCAAAACCACTTCGAGCTATCTGCTGTGTCCACAGAGAGAAATTGAACCTCTGATTTTAGCACTGTAAATCCGTAGACTTACCACTGTTCCACTGGGGAACAACATACATGTCAGAGATGTGACAATTGAGTTGTTAAACTTTTTGTGCTACAAAAGAACTACAGCTCTGAAAATACTGTTAAAATTAAGGGTACCCAGCTGATGAAACAATGCAAAATATATAATTAATCAGCTATACTCATTAACAGGTTAATTTTTAGTTTTGCTCTAAGTAGGTAACTTGCTCTGATCAGAAGTGAATATTAATAGATGCCAACCATTTTAAGTTATTTTGTTTATCATTTCCTGAAGAGATAGTTTAATTTTCAACAGAATTGAATATTTCAAGAAAACCTAGAGAAAATTAATTATTTACCAACTGAAATCAAAGTGAAATGTTTTCAGTTACAAATTATTATTTTGAATAGCTGTTCTAGAATATTTTTTATTATAAAATTGAAGGGTGTGAATAGTTTTCTCATAGTACTCTAACAATAAATAGCACAAAGTTTTATACTTTATACCAGACCAATGAAACAACATGAACTATTTAAAGCTACTGTTAAAGCAAACTTCTTTTGTAAGTGGTTTATCAAGTAAAAAACATTAGGCTCACGTTAAAAGTAAATGTTACCTGCCAGGTGTCTGCTCAATAATTAATATGAGTATTTAGATAAGTAACTCAATAAATATAACAAAAAACACATTTTTCAGTATTATTCTTAATTGAACAGAAGCAAATACAAACTTTTGTACACAAGTGATCTAAAATATTTAAATAAGTAAATTCATAAGGTATTGTTTAAAGGAAGTTTTAAACAGCGTAGACATGATAATTTTGACTTAAACAGACAGTTCATGCCTGTTTCTAGAGAATGACAACTTTTTGGCTTTTATATTGAGACCTTCTTTGGTTGAAGTCCAAAATGTCAACTGTAGGGTCTTTTCTTGGGGTTAGCAAAGTCCTTTGATAATTTCTTCATATCTAATTATATCCACATGTAAGTGGGCACATCTGGAAGTGAGTTGTGTGACACAATCATTCCTTCTATATAACTTAATGATGGAGGTTGTTCAGAGGTTACTGGTGGCAAAGCCGTTGTCTTGGTCAAAGTGCAAGTTGGTGTGATTTGATGTAAAAAGATTTTTAATTTTTCTATATTATCCAAATGTGGGTCATGTCCAGAAGTTGATGTTGATTCCAGTTTACAATGTGGCCTGTTTTATAATTATGTTCGACCCATATTGACTTTTCTGGATGTGTAAGTCTAGTTGCATCCTTGTGCTCTTTTATTCTGTTTTATGGTTTGACATACTTCTCTAATGTATGTATTTCTGCACAACGTTCATAAGACAGCACTAATCAACAAAAAGAAACTACACAGTGAGCACATTTGATGTCGACATGAATAAAGCCTCAGTATACGAACCAAAATGTCATCCCTCTCTATAAACTGGCAAGAGCAATGTACTAAAGCCAAAATGTTAAATTAATATGGTAAACATAAAATATTAACCTAACATTATCAGATGGTACAAGTTTTGTTTTGTATTTAAATTCTAATTCTTGACAAATACAAAGGGTATAAACTATATAAACGTTATTTGCAAGTCCCAAATAATTCATCAAATTTAAACTGTTTAAAACTTTTCACATAGATACAACCTGTATGTTAATACACCTATTTGCATTTCAGTTTATTATATATTTAAATTGTCACCTAAAATGCTGAAAACAAAGCATTTTTATAAGCCAGAAAATCATATGGTGTGACAAAATTATAAAACTGAAAATTTATTATAATTCACACAAGTGCTAAAGAAAAAATTCTAAATACTATTCCCTTTTGTAATGACATCATGAAGCACTTAAACAAAAACTAACAAATATTGTTTCACTCTCCTGTTTAATCAAAACCCTTTAAAAATCTTAACATGGTTACATTTTATAAATGAAGACACACATGTTTGTATTAATATTTACAGCCAGAGTGCAGCAAGAAAAAAAAGTTTGCTAAAATTTAGGTATATTGTGCATGTAGTTATCTTCAAAATATTATTATTTTTATACAGAGTTAATACATAAAGTACTAATAATTTTATGATATTTCACAAGAAGGTACAAGTAATTAACATATTTGAAATTATTATACAATTAAGAGTAATGTACAATGATACTGAAAAAATTCAACTTTTCATTGTTGAACTCAATAGTGATATATAAACACAAACTAGCTGTGTTATCAATTCAATACTTTAATGAGAAAATAAAAGATTTATTATAATACTACAAATAAACTCCAAACACTTTTCAATAGGGTACCTGAATTTGTTTCTACAACAAATAACAATCACAATTCTTCAGATTGATACATATTCAGCTTTTAGAATACGGTAGTCTTGAAAACATAGGCCTAACTTCACAAATGTTAAGTTCAATTTTATATAATGGAAAAAATGAAAGCTAAATCACTGAAAGTTTATCTATGCATAATTTTCAATATCAGTATTGTATAAAATTAATATAAACATGAGTGGTATAAAATATTTTCTGCAGTAATTTTTGTTTTGTTTTAGTGAAATATAGGTAACTCTTAAATAAAATATAATACTTGGTTAACCTGTAATGTATCCATAACTTACTTTTCAATATTTAACTCTTTATTATTGGATACCTGTTGAATGCTCATATTAATCATTTTCAAGACATTGCATCTTAGCTTGAAGTAGTCTTTGTCTTTAGGACATACTGTGAAACTCCCCTACAAAATGTTGAATTATGTTACTTTCATTATTTGATACATTCATACAAGTACAGTAAAATTATCCTATGAAGTGAAGCACATTACTGTTAATTTTTTAATAAATTTTAACAAATACAGTAAAATCTCCTTCTAAAATGTACAAGTTTATGTAAAAATGTTACTGTTTGTTAAAAATTTTAATACATAAAGTGTATAAAACGTACCTTTATTCTTTGTTCACAGTTTCATGTATATAGTATATAAAACAAACAATAATCCAATGTTTGTTGACAGATATATATTATATGTACAAAACAATCATTCTTTTTCTGTTGAAAGTTTCATATAAAGTGTATAAAACATACTTATATGTTGACAATTACAAATATCAAATTTATAAATCACGCTTATCCTATGTTTGCTGACACTTTCATATATAAAATGTATAAATCATACACTTATCCTATGTTTGTTGACATATACATTTAGTGCATAAAACATGAAGCTATACTATATTTGTTGACAGTTTAATATATTAATTGTATAAAACACAGATATGTTTGTCAAGAATTTCATATCTAAAGTGTACAAAAAGTACACTTATCCTGTGTGTTGGCAGTTTCATATATGAAATGCATAAACCATATACTTATCCTATATTGTTGACACATTCATATATGGACCATACAATTATCTTATGTTATTAACAGTTTCATATATTAAGCATATAAAACATACAATTATCCTATTTCTTGACAGTTTTGTTTTTTAAGTGTATAAAACATAAACCTATCCTAGGTAGCTGACAGTACGTTTTATATACTTCTATATTTGTTGACTGTTTCACATTACGTGTATAAAACACTTATACTATGTTTGAGGACAGTTTTGTATATTAAGTGTATAAAACATACCCCTATCCTAGGTAGTTGTCAGTATGTTTTATATACTTCTATATTTGTTGACAGTTTCATATATGCAGTGTATTAAAATCACTTTTATCCTGTTTTATGATGACAGTTTAAATTATTACAAGTCACTTAATTTTTGAAAGTTCATGCTTTTTACCTTAGAATCATCTTCCTTCACATCTAAAAATGCTTCAAATATGTAAATTTGTTCATTACTCTTCACAGAAGTTTCAACAGCTAGTATGTTTTCTGAGCAGTTGGAATGACCATGACCAGACAAATTCTTAGGAGCTTGGCAGAAGACTGTTGCAAAGCACTGCAAGATCTTTTCAATCTAAACCAATAGTTAAAGATTAGAAAGAGACAAATGAAAGGTATTAATGTTTAACACTGAGAAACATGAAAATAAACTATAAATGTATTTGAAGGTATAATTTTTGAACATGACTACAAGAGCATACATAAATTTTCATCACCTCACACTTAATAGTTCATTAATACAAACTTTAGAAAAAGATCAAGAAATTATGTGAAATACCGTAACATTCAGTGAAAGGTATGTAAAGACTGCAAATTTACACCTCCATAGACACAGTCAAAAAGTTAAAGTGTGTTTTAATAACTATGTATACAATAGCTTGGCTGAGATTGGAATAAAACAAGACACATTCAGCAGGCATTAGCAGAATAAGCTAAACAGTGACAGGACTCCACAGTGAGTTCTAGTCCTCTCAGAGCAGAAGTTAACATTTTTCTAAACTGAAATTGTATTTCTGAAAGATACTGACCTCTACTTACAAAAAGCTTTCTTGACTTATTCTGCCCTCTATTAGTACAAATTATTGCTCATCACTAGCTTTGATACTCCCACGTATTTCTGCATGCTAACATGCAAATGACTATGCAGCAACCCTCCATCAATAGAAGTACAACACTATCCCTATCATAACTAGCACCCTCTCTAATCATGCAGCTGTTAACCATTTTAAGATTGGCCAGATCACATCAAATGAAACCAGAAGTAAGGAGGACAGGCAGGAAATGTGAGAAGAGGTATGTTATCTGTCGGAAATACATTTTCAATTCATAAAAATACTAACATTTGATACAATATCTTACCTCTTCTCACAAAAAGGTAGAATCCCACACTGAACTGGTGGAAGGCCAGTGAAAAAATGATCCCCCTTTAGGAAGTGCCCAGAAGAAACCATGGAGTGTGAGATGGAATTAAAAACAACACAACCAGGGGAGACCTCACCACTTCTGAGCTAGGTATACTCTTCACCCATGGGTAATGTGTCACCAAAAGGGTTGAAGCATGGAGGGATACCAAGAAAAAATTACAAAAGTTAGCATTTTCCTACACTGAAAATGTATTTCCGATAGATACTTACCTACTCTCACAAAATAGCTTTTCTCAAGTAGCACTGCCCTCTATTGGCACAAATTTTCAATGCACACCACTAGCCTTCCACCTCTGCATATCCACATTCAAATGATCATGCAGCAGCTCTCCACCAACAGGAACATGACACCACTCCTATCATAACCAGCACTCTCTTCATATCTGCACTCATTAATCACTATGAGATTAGTCAGAAGACCAACATCATATATCACCAGAAGTAGGGAGGCTGGGTGGGAAATGTGAGGGAAGGGAAGTATCTATCAAAAATACATTTTCAGTGTAGGAAAATTGTAGCTTTCAATACAATATCTTACTTCCACTCACAAAATAGCTAGAATACCACATTGAACCAGTGGAGGGTAAACACAAATTATGATCCTCCTTCAGGAAGTACCCAAAGAAAGACCAGGTGTGGAAACAATCACATCTAAGCAGGAAACTGTACCACATCTGATCCAGGTATACTCTTTACTCTTTTATGATAGTGTCCTGATCATAAAAGGCAGAAATATGAAGGAATCCCAAAATATGTATGATGATGAATGGGACTCCTAGGTGTTGAGTGGCTAGGATGTGACAGACCATAATGGTAGTTTGACCTCCACCAAAACCAGATGATATCTGGAATAGTACAGTAAGTAGAGGAACACTTACCTCTTTGCCTTAAAATGGAAATTGGTATGGAAGACGAGCTTCTGTATCAAAATCTGTCACCACTCGCACGCATTTCCAACCCAACCAACACCAGATACACTGAGAACCAACATCAAGCAGATGGTAGGAAGGTGGGATGACATCTACTATCCAACACCTGATGGCAACAGGTATAGTACTTCCAGTCTGCAGTAGGAGGAAGATATCCGGCCATGCACAAGTGGGAAAACTTGCTGCATCCAGCTACAACCAACACCAGATCTGCTGGAAACCAACATCTTGCCGATGGTAGGAAGACGGACTTCAAAGCTGGGGTACATCTCCAATCCAAAATCTGGCGGCATCTAAAATTTATCATCAGTTCCGCAGTAGGAAGGGTGTCACACCATTTAAAAAACAAAACAAAATCGGTCATATATATAGAGAGAGAAAAACAGTGCACTCCAACATCCAAAACCAGACAGCATCTGGAATGGTACAAGCGGTCCGCAGTAGATACAGCAATGCCTGCAGAACGTCACTGCCCTACTCTTAACTGAGTAGAAAGACAAGCCTTCATTATCAACCACCGCAGCAACTAGGAACTGATAAGTGGCAAGGACTCTCATTCTCCACTAGAAAAAAGGTGGGGGAAAATGCATCGGAGAGTCTGGAGGACTGCACCACTGGAGACAGTGAATGGGTGATCACAAAAACCCTATTTTAACCCTTTCTACATGGGTCAAAAGCCATGACATCGCATTTGTTGACTCGCATTCAAAATTTTATTCAAGTACCATTTCATGTATTTATGTCAATCTGGTATCAATCTGTAGATTATAATTCAAATTTTAGTATTATACATTATTTGATCTCTTAATTTAAAAGTAAATATTAAAAGAACAC